AAGAAACAATTGGCATTGTTATAGGGAGCATCTGTCCTGTAGAATATTTGTTGATTTAATTGAGGGAAGAGGGATTGGTTTAACGCATTGATTCATATTAGTGGGGATACTTATTCCTAGATGACTTTATTTCTTGATTCATTCTTGATTATTTCGTTGGTAGAACTTAGTTTATAATTTCATATATTTGTTTTGTTTGGTTACTTGCTTAGCTTTAATTCAAGTCGATTTGATTAGTTTAAATCAGTTAGTCTCTTGGGATTTGACCCTTCCTTACCCGACTACTGAGTTAGTAGGTATAGTAAGATATTATTTTTGTTAGGTACACGACACACCTATCACATACCAAAATCCCCTTTAGATAAATTCATTACCTTTCATGGAAGTTTTATATTTACTAGGGTGGCTAACGCTCACGATGCGCGCACCATAGCTAGTCATGTTCGGGAGCATTTTTAGTTGTTGGCTATATTAATGAAGGAAAATATGTAAACAAATATTTTTAGGGGTATAAATGTTCGCACACTATTCTAAATAATTCTTCAAAAAAAGGCAATTAACATCAGTGAAGGCAAAACATTAATGAAGGGAAAAAAAACAAAAAACTTGTACATATTAATGAGGTAACATGTAAATACACATTTTGAGGGGTATAATTGGCAGCACATTATTCATAAGAGTAATCTTATACTTTTTATAAGGTAGAGAAGAGATTGTAACATTTACTTAGGTCTTGTTCTCTCCACCTTAATATATATATAAAAAAATGTACAATAAAAAAATTTCTAGTTCAGTAAAATTATTTTCACTTATGTAAAAATAAGTTCAGCTTAGTATAAATTAGTAATTTTACAAAATAGATAAATTCCTTTTGTATTTTATTATTACTTGCTCTATTCTCTTTTTTGGAAACCTTTCATAATATTTTACTAATTTCTTCTCTCATAGTAGACCTGCAACTATAATAATTTAAAATTTCTTCATTCTCTCTCCTCTCAACTATCATACATTATTCTTCGATCAACCTCACTTCCTTCATATTTTATTAGTTTTTACTACTTTTCAGTTTAGAGAGTAAGTAATAATATACGGAGGGAGTAATAGAGAATATGTAAAAGTAAGTTTTAATCAAAAAATAATAATATCAGTTTAGTAAAAATAAATTTAGTTCACCAAAAATAATTTCAGTTCTATGAAAAAAAAATTCAGTTCAGTGAAAATAAGAAGAAAAAAGGGGTCTTATTTGCACATGTTTTCTCCCTATCTCTCCCTTCATCACACGAATTTATTTTTATTTCTTTATGGCCTAGTTAACTTCACCTTATTTTTGTGGAATTGAAATTATTTTTACTAAATTAAAATTGTTTTCGTTAAACTTAAATTACTTTTACATTAAACTGGACTGAAATTAATTTTATTGAATTGAAATTACTTCTACTAATTCTCTTTTATATTTTTTCTTTAAAGTTACTGATTTTTACTATCCTAAAATTAATTTTACTAAAGTGAAATTATTTTTACTGAATTGTAATTATTTTTACTTAAGTGAAATTATTTTTACTGAAATTTTTCTAAGGTGAAGTGAACATGGCCTAAGAGATGTAGGTCCTGTTCACCACACCTTATTTTTATTGAACTTAAATTGTCTTTATGGAACTAGAATTATTTTTACTAAATTGAAATTATTTTTGTTGAATTGAAATTATTTTTATTGATACTCTATTATATTTCTTCTTTAAAGGTACTGATTTTGTATGACTGAAATTATTTTTACTGAATTGAAATTTTTACTGAATATTATTTTTAATTTTATTTAAAAACAAAAGCAATAACGTGTACATAAATTTATATCACATCAAAGCTAGGTACGTACAATCTTTAAAAAAAACAAAAAAAAAACAAATTAGTTAAAATCCAATAATTAAGACTCTTAAGAGTCATTATTGTTGCCTTATCGGTACAAAATACTCCGTATTAGGATTATCTCTAAATTTAAATATTTGTGTGCTCCTCTTGCTCCCATTATAAGAACACATGCCCTTGAAAATATGAGTTTGGATCCAACTTGACATATGAATCTACTACCAGTAGTATAAAATGGCAACGAGTTCGATAAAACATGGATTACTATGTAAAATGTGAGGTTATCCCATTCCCATACATAAAAATTACATGAGTTTATACCACCTTTCCCGCTAAGCCGATTTTGTTAACTATTTCTAGATTATTATATACGTAGTACTTCGTATATAGTTAATGTTTTTTTTTTTTTTTTGACGAAATATATGTTGTTAATCACCTTTACTATAAAAGTTACTTATGATGGCATATTACACTGTACTATATATGTTGTGTACCACCTTTCTCACAAGGTTGATTATGGGTATGTTATCTTCACCTTATTGGACCTTAATTTATCTAAATTGACCTTATCAGAACTTATTATTGGAACCTATCTGAACTTATTAGACATTGTTGAACTTATTGAAACTTATTAGATCTGATTGAACTTATTAGAACTTATTACACTTTATTAAACTTATTAGACCTAGTTGAACGTATTATTACTAACAGACAAAGTCATACAACCTACAAAAAATTAGTGGGAAGCCGAGATACAATCTGGCCCCCCACTCTAGGTATAGAAAATCCTATCCTAGTGAAGATATGAGCAGCAACACGTGCCCCAATGGCTTGAGTCTTCGAGAACTTCTTGATCTGCTTTAGCAATGCAACCACCTCCTTCTCTAATTCTCCAAGTGTAGAGAAAGAGAAAGGAAGGAAGCCATATCCAATTGCCCGACAACTGGATTCGTACTTGACCCACTTCCGATGAGCCGCATCAGCCACAACCCGTCCAAGAACAAAGTCAGATTATCCAGACTGCGTCAAAGGAGAAGACCCTGTCAAGTCAACACAGACATCGCGACCACAATCTCAAGAATAAAGTAACACATCTGTAGGTCTGAGGGCTTCGTCGTTCCCTCCAGACAACCCTATGTCAACCTCCTTTCTAGCTGAAATCCCAGATCGATAACAAACATCAACAAGGGTATCCTGCACAGCATTATGCCGATGTTTAATACCCACTATACTAGCACATGACATCGCGTGATCACCGTAAAAAATCCCCAGTAAAAACCCTTGAATAAACAAAGCACGACGTCGAGACAGAGAACAATGGAACACCCAAGCGGTAGCACAACACACATCGGTTAGTCTTTGCATTTATCGTCTGACCCAACCCCGAAATAGGAATCACCCGAAGCTAAGCAGAGGTGTGATCTCCTTGCTGCGATTTCCACAATGCTGATTGACGAGGAGATAAAGAGAAGGTGGATTCTACAGGAGCGGTAACCTTTGGGAAATATATATATATGCCAATTTCTTCATGAGTTTAAAGGCAACGACATCACTAGGATTACTCAAATGTCAGACTCCACCGTTTTATTGAATAGGCTCAACGCATCCTCAAAGGCTCGACCAAGGCCAACAACGCTAGCATGTCGTAGAAGCTTTGTCTGCAACCTAGTAGATTGTAATCGCGAAGCAAGAAAAGCATAATGACGAACATCACTTGCTGAATAAAAATCAAGCCTTCCATACGCAAAAGGTAAGGTGGCAAGCCGCCACTGCCAATCACCAAACCCAGGTCCTGAAGTAGAAACGATACACCCCAAGGAAGATTGAATGTGCGCTCAGCCACCTCAAAAGTACTAGAGGGAATGGTACGCAAAACAAAGTAGAGTTTAGAAACTCCGGTACAAGCCCTAAGCAACAACAGCTCGCACTGAGGATCATCAAGCTTAGCAACCCTATCCATAAGCGCAATGGTCTTGGTCACCCTCTGCATCACAAGCTCACCTCAAAAACCGGAATCGGAACTAGCGGGACCACCAAGCAACTTAACACCACGCAAAGGTCGAGCAATATTAGGTGGAAAGACACCCACAAGCCTGCTTCGAGGGTCTTCTGTAGGCCAAAAAACTTCATTTTTTTCCACGTTAAGATGTAACCCAAAACGAGGCCCTTCGTCCATAATCAACTGTAGGACCTTCCCCACCACCAACGTGTCACCAATAACAGTGTCGTCATCCAAATACCAAGCCTGAAGACATACATCAAAAGTGTCTTTGATTTTACACACCAGGGGTTGTAAAACCAAAGCAAAAATTAGAGGACCAAGGGGATCACCCTGCTGCACCCCCTGAGATGACCATAAGGTGTGGTCTCCGTAATACAATCTAGCTGGATTAGAGTAGCAGAATTCAACCCATCGCAAAAGGCTTGGACAACAACGATGAACTTCACGTAACATGACCGCACGATCAACTAGATTTAAGGCATTTTGAAAATCCACTAACAACATAGAAAGACCAACATCGAAACCACGATCCTCAATCAACCGATTCACAGCATGAAGAATTGCCTCACCTCCCGAAGAAACCCCAACACCAAATTGGAGAACATCAAAGTAACTTCCTAAAGACTGGCCAACCAAACGCCGCCAAACAGTACCCACAGCTATAGGACGAATACCACCACCAGGCTTGACAAGAGGTGTGAGAGGAGCACTAGCAATATACTCTCCTAGTTCCATAGGACATCTTCCAGCTAAAAAGAGATTAACCACCTTGGAAATAGAGTCAACTAACTCATCTGAGACAGCCACAACAGCACCACTCAAGCAATCCAAAAGGTGCTGAGCACGTAAACCGTCCCTACCACAAGATGTGCCACGCGAAAAACTCCTAACACTAGTAGAAAAAATGAATTAGGCACCGCACTTTTCGCACCGGTTCTTGAAAACCGGTGGTAAAAGAAATGGGCGGGATTGGAAAAATGACTTTTCGCACCGGTTCCTATTAAACCGGTGCGAATTATAAACGAGGAAAAAAAAAGGGAGAAAGGGATTTCACACCGGTTCAAACCAAACCTGTGCGAAATAGTGTCAAACCGGTGCGAAATTTTTAAAAAAAAACCGGGCTGCGTGCTTTTCTTTCGTTCTTTCTTTCTTTCCCCATACTTTTCCATCTCTAGTTTCCCTCTCGTTTTCGCTTTCTCTTCCACCATCTCGAATTTCCACTCCATTAAAGCAGCACCTCCTTCTCTCTCCATTGAAGTGATTTACGAGCTTTCTCACTCCATTGAAGCAGCACCTCCTTCTCTCTCCATATCTCTGGTCTCCATTGAACTCGCCGTGCTCTATATTCTCCATTGAAACCAATTATGAGCTTTCTCACCTCCATTGAAGCAGCTTCGAGGTAAGATTTTTCTTGTGGTCTACTTAATCCCTCGAATTCATTCGCAATCTAGGGTTTGTCGTTGATTTGCTTTTCAATTTAGTAATTTTAGGGTTGTGGTAATCTAGGGTTTGTCATTGAAGCGCGCACGACTCTACCTCCACCACAACGGCCTCCTTGTTACGGCGGCAGGGCCTTCTTTTTCTAGGGTTTATTGTCAATTCCCCCCTTTTTCTTCGATTTTTTTTGTTTGATATTTTTTTATTATTGAAGATTTCTTGTGTACTGTGTGTGTTAGTGTGTGACTGCTGTGATTTTCGTCGTCGTTATTTTGCTGGAGTAATTTGCGATTCATGCTACGATAGAGGTGAGCAATCAATAATTGTTTTTGTTTGAGTAGATGTAGCTCTATTTTCCTATGATTGTTGCAAACGGAACTATTCTTAGTTGTAGAACATTTTTTCTAAAAAAAATAAATTGTTTTAGGATTTAGATCTTCAATTTCTAGCAATATTGTTGTTATTGCGGATACATTGATTAATTTTAGTTTCCTCACACGTCTGATATCCAATAACTTTTTTCGTCGTGACACTTGATTGACGATTATATATTGATGTTATTGAAAGATAGGAGGAGATATTTTGATCTTTTGATGTTAATAACGATAGGAGGATATATGTTGATCTTTTGATGTTACTCTAGGTTCATTTTCTGGCTAGCTACATATGCGCTTGTAGCAATGTCTCATTATAGTGTATGTGCTGTTAATTACTATGTGAAAATCACTAGAGGTTTGTGTACCGTTCATGTGGACAGTCTGGTTGTTGTCGTTGGAGCCAAATCTTCATGACTTCAGTGCAACATATTGGTTTCATTATAAGTCAAACCTTATCCGGTGAATGTAACTTAAGGTGATTGCCAAGTTTCCAACTATCCCTTCAGATCATATGGCATTCACACGTCTAGCAAGTACATATTAGGCTCCTTTTTCTAAGAGTATTATAGTATTCCTTAATTCATTTTTGACTGACTTATATGTGGCCACAACATACACCATTACACCATGATGTCTTCAAAAATTATGATTGGTTGTAGCATTTGATTCTGAACTATAATGAAATCTGTATGTCCTCAAAAGTATGTCACTTTAGGCGCTAAAGTCGAACTTGTATTGCAGAAATTTTTTTAATAAAACTTGTAGTAAAATTTTGGTTTGATTAGTGGAGAAAGAGTTGAGTATTTGTGATAGGTCAAAACATATATTTTACTTTTGTAGGACAATGTGTTCCCTTTATTGGACTAAAATGCGGATGCCCAAAAATAGATAATGATGCTTTAAGATGGAAAAAACTGCAAGTAGCTGGGTTTGTAGCATCATATAATATGGTAGATTTGACATCTTGAATTCTTCTTGTTGAACTATGATCCTCAGTTTACTTAAAATACAGTGAAATTAGGTTCTTTCATCATCTCAGGCTTCTTACACTAGTAGAACCTGTTTTCATTGCAGAACCTGGTTTGTGCCAAGAATTTGGTGATAGACAAGAGCATCCAAACAGAATACATTGAAGCAATCAGATCTGCTCAACATTTCATTTATATAGAAAACCAGTATTTCCTTGGATCATCATATGCATGGCCAAATTACAAAAATGCTGGTATGAAATTTTCAGCTTCCCTTTCTTATAATCTTGCTGTTGAAGTTGTTTAGAAAATGTGAATGTTCCTGTTGGATTCGATAGCTAGTGTGCTTAATGATAACGTACTGGCAGGTGCTGATCATTTGATACCTATGGAGTTGGCACTGAAATTCCTGGTGATGGTGATGCTGATGCTCCACTTCCACTAGCTACTTACCCGATTCGTGATTGCACTTCTCTGATGATCTGTAACATCCCAGTTCGCCTTAGGTACTATCGATTCTCTTTATTTATTTTTCAGGTTTTATTTACAGATTAAAAGCAAAGATTAATTTATGCAGTCAGGGTGAGCTGCTACGGCTGTTAGACGAGCATTGTCGTGAGGAGAATGAGAAGCGTCGGAGTGCTGCTGAGGCTCGTTCGGAGTTTGACTTCCTTTATCTTCCTATTGATTTCAAGTGCGTCTTTATTCTCTATATTTTCTTGTCTTTTTCAGGTTTTATTTCCTTTAATTGAATTTAGTTAATTAATAGGAGGTAATTTGGGGTATGCCTTTGTGAATTTTACGACGTGGGAAGGAGCTTCAAGGCTTTATAATTCTTGGAAAAGAACCACTTGGAAGAATTGCTCCTATAATTCAAAGAAGATCAGCCAGCTTGATCCAGCTAAATTTCAGGTACTGTTAGTTTGTTTAATTAATAAAGTTTGTAGGTTTAGGGTTATTGTTTGCGTGTGGAGTCAATTAATGAATTAGATCCAGCAAGATTTTCTGGGTAGGAAATGGAGATGATTTTAACACTCCAAGAAGAATGAAGAAGAATGAAAGGGCAATTGGGATTTAAAGGACCAGGAGTGCAAAAATCATTTCCCATGTAATCTCACTCAACTGATCCCCCTGATTTTACGTGTTGCAAAATCTGGGAGTCTAACTGAGATTCATGTTTCATCAGTTTTATGTGATAGTAGGAGTACTGTACTAATGGTGTAGTGGTTGTTACCACTAAACAGTAGAATTACTGATGGAGTGTAAACTTAACCCAAATCCTTCTCCATTCCATCTTACTGTATCTCCTTCTTTCTTTGTATTTTATCAATCAACTATATTCATTAACCACTTTGCTTTGCCTTTATTATTTATTTTCATTTAAATTGTTATTTCTCTATTTATTATTCTTCTGTATACTAGATTAGATCATATTAGTATTGTTTTTGTTACTTATCTCTCAATCTCTTGATATAGCCAACTAATCTCTTGATGACTTAAAAAATACGTATGGTATCACATGCTACTAATCTTTCTTGATCCGGATATGATTTTATCAAATTTTGATACCTTTGCTTGATCTAAAAGCTCCTCGATTCAGTTATCTGTTTGAGCTGATAGATATTATAATAAAGTCTTCTTATTACTCCAGTCTACTCGGAGCACCCTGCTGTAATTTACTCCTACACATATAGTGTGTTTGTTCTGATTCTTTTTCGTGGTTCTGCATGTTGATTCAGCCAGCAGCACAAACTAATAATGGCAGCAGCAGCACACAACCAGCAGCATAACCAAAGCAGCAACAACGATACAGCCAAGAAACCAAGACACAACGTTTGTGGATGGATTAAGAAAATGGGTAGACAGTTTCCAGCTTGATTCAGGTAGAGTTATGGCAATCTAGCTACTGTTAAGTTGTCATTTTCAACAAAAGAAATCAGGATTACTCTGGCTATTCACAAGAGAACTTGCTGTCTGTTTTTTTCTATATATAAAGATGTTGTAAATGGCAAGCACTTACTGTGTTTACTAGGCTGATGCCATGTTCAGTTAGCTCTTCTCCTAGCCATTTCATCTTTATTTGATTTATGTCATCATCTGTTTTGTTAACATTTAGTTATGCAAACTTATGGAACCTACCCCTTTTGTCATGGTTATGATTTTCTTCAGTCAGTTTCTTTTTTCATTTGATCTGCTGAATATGGAAGCTAAGTGATTATCTGTAGTTGCTGATTCCTTTCCAGAAGTTATACTACTGGTTTTTCCACAATATTAAACCCTGTTATGATTGCTGCAGTGTCAGAAGAATCTTTGCTGTTGACAATGTTATGATCTGGTTTGCAAGGTAACTGTTAAGGTATTCTTCTTCTTAAATCATTAGAATCTTTGCTGTTGAGGCAAATTAAGGAATGACAATTGAATTTTTTTTTTCTTTTAATATATAGATTTATTTCCCTTCCATTTTCTAGAACTCACAACTCGATTCTTTTCTTTTAATTTCTGTGAGAAATGGTATGCATACTTTGCTATGAGTTAATTAATATTATCTCTTATCCAATTTGTGAATGACAGCAATTAACTAAATTGGACCTATCTTTATTGTTGAAATAGGTATCGTGCCATAACCAGTGCCTACTATCGAGGAGCTGTGGGTGCTTTGCTTATGTATGATGTCACCCGGAAAGCTACATTTGAGAATGCTGCAAGGTGGTTGAGAGAGCTACGGGAGCACACTGATCAGAATGTTGTGGTCATGCTAATTGGTAACAAGTCAGATCTTCGGCATCTGGTTGCTGTTACTACTGATGAAGGGAAGGCTTTTGCAGAACAGTAGGGTCTCGTCTTCATGGAGACTTCTGCTCTTGAAGCAACCAATGTGGAGCTGGCTTTCACTGAGGTTAGTGACAAGCGCACTTTGCGCGCTTTAGAGCATATTTTAGGATGATTTTGGATGTATTTGGGGCCGTTTTGGCCGATTATTACCTTGTTATGCTTACGTTCCCCATATTACATGCTTCACGGGTTTTCGGTTTGTTTTTTATGTGTTTTCAGGTAATATCAACCGAGTTTAATCGGATCCCGAGCCCTTGATGCGTAACCGAGCTAGCCTTGACCGAAGTCCGAGGAGTTAAGGAAGTTCAAGTGCCGTGCATTGATTACATAGCACAGGCAGCACGGCCGTGTTACCATAGGCACACCCGTGCTGGCCTATAAGCAAGCAACCCCAGGCAAGGCAGCACGGCCGTGCAAGCCAATAGCACGGCCGTGTCAGTATCCACGCACCAGCACGGCCGTGCAGGCCATTAGCACGGTCGTGCCAGATGTTGCCCGTGCCCGTGTCAGCTTCAGTATGAGCCCCGTGCTAGAGCATATTCAGCACGGCCGTGTCATTTTTAGCACGGCCGTGCCAGGAAGCTGCACGGCCGTGCCATATATAGCACGGCCGTGCCAAATTGAAGAAGAAATCCGGTTTACCTACTGACAATCTAGCACGGCCGTGCCAAATTCAGCACGGCCGTGCTGATCCAGGGTTAACTGCGCGCTTGACTTTTCCGAATTAGAAGACGTATATAAGGCCCGACTTTAAGAGGATTCCAGGGACAGTTTTTTAGAGATAGTTTTGAGAGCCTTTGTAGAGAGTTATTGGAGAACGTTCTTAGTATTAGAGATTCATTAGTTTTCTTAGAGATATTTCTAGAGATTTTAGTTTTCTTGGATTGATTTGAAGCAAGATTTGCGAAGATTCTTTGTATTATTCATTGACGACGGATATCAAAGTTCTGAACTTTTCCATTGATTCGCATTAATACAATTGGTATTATTCATTCTTGTTTATTAATCAAGCTTTATTATTCATTAATCAGAATTCATGTTTATATCTATTATGCTTTTGGAATTCATTATTGCTTTGATTATGAATATGTGTGAGTAGTCTCCTAGCTAGGGTTTCGGGATGAAACCCGGCCTAGGTAATCTATGTAATTGAGGGTTGATTTTGATAAACGGATTGTGATTAAATTGATTATATGCGATTGCATGTTAATTCATTATAATAGGAGTAGCTAACCTAGAATCTTGAATTTGATTGCATGATATTCTTGATTTGAACAAGAGATTGTGAATTGAGTATTTCATTATTGAATGTGGTTTGATTATGTATCGAGTAATGTTAAGTGCATGAGAAATCCAAGCTTAGTATTGCCCGTTGTCTTCCTATCACATGATATTGATCAGACTTATAGTCTTTGCATATCCCGTTTGTCTCTGTGATTCCTTGTTGCTTAGTTACCAATGGTTAGGCGGATTCCCGTTCTCCCTAGTGTCTTAGTTTATTGATTTATTCCATCTTATTAGTAGTATTTTAGAACACCATTTTCCATTGATTTCGAACTAGCTTAGGTTTAAGATTGATTTGCAATTACTCTCGTTCCTCGTGGACCGAACCTTTATTTGCCATTGTACTTGGTTATAGGGTGTTCGTATAAGTATTGTTTGATTGAGAGTTAGATTGTAGCGACCGATTTAACCCTTGTCAGTTAGATCCATTGCATCGTCAACAAGAAGGTTGTTGTTGATGCTGGTGATGCTTCTGCATCGGCTATTCCATCCCAAGGAGAGAGTATAAATATAGAAAATGAGACCTCAGCTTGGAAGAAGATAGGCTGCTGCTCATACTAGTTACTTACTATAATAAGTCTTTGCTGTTACACCTTTTTATTTCGCTACGAAAAATCCTAACTGGTTGAACTTCTGCTGGTCAGTTTCGTCCCTTGGAAGAAAGAAAAAATAGGAATTTTCATTGTCTATATTATATTTTATTTTTTAGACAAAAATTTTAATATTACAACCCTTTTTAATGAAAATATGTAACTTTATATATATGTTAGTGTTTATACATCAATTTAAGTGAAAAAAATGCAAAAAAATAAAAAAATAAAAAAAATATTTTTTGGAAAAGAACCGATGCTAAAAGTTTTTTTTAAAATATTTTTTGGGACTTTTGGCACCGGTTCTAAGTAAAAACCGGTGCGAAAAGTTCGGTTTTTGGCACCGGTTTTCCCCTAAAACCGGTGTGAAAAGTCATTTTTCCCACCGGTTTTGAACCAGTGCGATAACTATGGGGTTTTAGCACCCCCAAAACCCGGTTCAAAACCGGTGGGAAAGGGGGGGGGGGGTTTGAACCGGTGGGGAATTCGTTTTTTCGCCTAGTGGTATCCGATCGAAAACTACAACAGAAGTAGTAACGATCAGCAGGTATATTAGGCAAAGATGGAGCTGGAGAAGAAGGGTGCTTTGACTGTAAATCCGCAAGAGTGGCCTCATTATAAGGAGCAACGCCTAAAGAAGAAAGAATTCGGACTGCAGCGGTGTAATGGCCATCGCATATCTTCCTACGACAGTGTTTGATATTACGCTCTTCCAAATCAAGGTCCTCATCATCAACCACCGACAAAGTAGGAGAATCCTCTGCCAGAGTTTCCCTCACAAGCTGCAAACTACCACCTGGTGCACTCCAAGAACAAATAGCATGGGAAATACTCTCTTCCTGATGCCGACGTTTCACTGAAAATCGAGACTCACGACTACTTCGCGGGAGAAAGGTTTTAAGGGTGCAAAGAGGTAACACCAACAAAGAGACCGATTAGAAATGTCATCAGGCTTAGAGATCAACTTATCAAGAGCACTTATTAGAACTCGAGAAAACCCCAAACGACATTTGGGAGGGATAGACTTCATAGTGCGAAACCCCTTAAAGAACAAACTATCGAGGAGAACCACATCAAAACCTCCGCTATGATCTCGCATCAAATCATCCACATGTCCAATACGAGCAGGAGAAGAGGGAGCTTGTGGCTTGGCGAAATTATGAAGCACAAAACAAACAATACCATCTCCTTCATCCGGGGGTGACACGTCCTCACCCGTACTATGACGACACTTAGAATGAAGCGTATGTGTCTTGTAGCAAACCCCACATAACCAAATCCCCATACGCGAAAAAGTAACTTCTGCCAAAGTATAAATAGCCAAATTAGAAGTAAGAGCATGTCGTGTGATATCCCGCGCACCAATACAACAATGACGATCGTAAAGATTCTTGATCAAAGAACTTCTAGTAAGGCCATTTCCACTCCCATCTTGACAACCACTAAGACCAACGGTACTGTAGCGTAAATTGCACCAGAAATAGAAGGTGCAAACAGACGTTGCAAACACACTGCCACAAAACTGCACCAAAATTTCACCAAAACAGTACCCAAAATTGCAACAAAATTACACCAAAAATCCTTGAAAAATGGCTGAAAATGCCCCCCCAATTACGCTTGAAACAACCACAAAACGTCGTTGGAAAAACCAAAAGGAGGCCTGAACACCCACGCAGCCACACGAGCTAAAACCTGAACTGCTGCCTGAAATTTGAAAAGTGAACGCTGATCGCTGAAACCAACAGAAATATGACCTGACCGCACCGGAAACAGACCTGAATTTACAGCAAAATCACTGCTGCCACAGAACGCCAGAAACACGCCTGAATGCCGCTTGAAACTTGCCTGGAAATTACGCCTCAAAACTACACCAAAATAGCCCGAAACCACCTCAATTTCGCCCAAAAAAAAAACCGAGAACCCACCTCACCTGAACTCGCCTGACCTCAACACCCCTAATAGCCGGAAAAAGGACGTGGAAGCCTACCCTACCCTGCCTTAATCGCCCCTAAATGAGAGAAAATACTAACTTTATTATTATTATTATTATTATTATTATTATTATTATTATTATTATTATTATTATTATTATTATTATTATCATCATCATCATCATCATCATCATCATCATCATCATCATCATCATCATCATCATCATCATCATTATCAAAAATAGACAAAGTCATACAACCTACAAAAAATTAGTGGGAAGCCGAGATACTATCTGAGCTCCGACTCATCTAGCTATAGCAAATCCAATCCTACTGAAGATATGGGTAGCAACACGTTACCTAATATCTTGGTTCGTCGAGAACTGCTGAACCCGCTTCAGCAATGCAACAACCTCTTTATCTAATTCCTCCAAGGCTCTCGATAGTAGCCTGTTAGCGAACTGGAGACTTCATTCTTCACCTTTATATCATCAAACCTACATTAAACGAGAAACAACCATGTTAAAATGATCATCAATAAAAAGTAAATAGAACATGTTAGAAGTAATAAATAGATTAACGTAACGAAACTAAGAATATAAGTACGTACCATAGCGTAGTTGGATCTAATACCGGAAAATCAGAAGACTCCGATTGCTCTCGCCCCTGAAGTTGTTGCCCCTGCTGCTGAGTCTAAATCTGGATGATGGGGGGCTCCTGAGTGTCACCCAAATCATGTGCCTCCGCTTCCTCCGTGGAGTCGTCGTCGTAGTACACAATACGAGATTTCTCCTTTCCCTTTCACTTCTTCGACAATTCTCCATTTTATCCTCTCGCCATGACCACCTGAAATAGTTGTTAGTAACATGACATGATATTGTAATTATAAAAAATAAAAGGTATAGTGCGATGAAATACAATGTTATACAAAAAGTAAACAAAAATTACACGACCAAGTCATCAATTGATTTTACAATAACGAGCAAATTCTTAAAGGAGTTTAACATGTTCTGGCCAAAATGCTTTGCTTTTCTCCATGCAATATGGGCAAGCCTTCTTAGCAGCTGTGGACCAACCAGACAACATACCATAAGCTGGAAAGTCGCTAACGGTCCATAGGATGGCTGCTCGAAGATTAAAATTCTGTTTCCTCGAAATATCGTAAGTATTGGCACCAACTTCCCCTAATTGTTTCAACTCTTCTATTAGTGGCTGAATGTAAATGTCCAAGTTCCCATTAAGGTTTTTAGAACCAGGAACGAGCAACGAAAGGAACATGAATTGTCTTTTCATACTCAATGAGGGAGGCAAGTTATAAGGGGTCAAAATGACAGACCAACAAGAATATTGTCCCCCAAACTTACCATG